GTCGAGGAGGTCTGCATGAGCGGCATCTGCATATAGTCCGGTTGCTGCTGCTGTCGTCAATGGGTTGCTGCGTCATTATGATAGGCTAGTATAGGAGCTGTACGATTGTAGTCTGAGTGCCATTAGGAGGAAAGGCGGATGCATTGTTGATGGTGGCGAGAGAGGTCTTTCATTGACAATTGAGCTACTCGTTGGTGTGATTTTGGTGCATTTCTGATTTCTGGGCTGTTCACGACTATCTGGCTTTCAATGTGATCTCGCAATCTGGAATTCTCAGTTCTGTCATTTCACTATTGCTCATTTTCTTTGCAATTTGGTATCAGAGCTGGTTTGAACTGCTTCGCTGGCACCAGCACATTGGTCATCAGTGCCGTGCTGCGCGCATGCATGGCAATGAGTTTGGTTATGGTGCTGGTATGTTAGGCGGCCCAGTGCCATGTAGGCGCACCAGGAAAGCTATTTGGTGGCATTGGGTTGTACGCTGGATGATGAGAGCTTGCTATTAAGTTGCTAATGTGGCATTTAAGCCAAGGTGGAACTGCATTGCATTGCGGTTTGTGCCAAAGCATCGGCCGGTCATCATAAATGCATGTCAGGTCAACTAGTGAGAAATCTGTGGTTGGGGGCAGCACTTTGAGGTGCGTTGCTCCTTACCTTATCTTCCCTCCTCATTGCTTCTTACCGCGAGGAAGTGAGTTCGGTCTTGAGAGTCCTCTCATTGTGAGGCGTCGTGAGAAGCCTACCTTGAGAGTCGACATTCTTCCTAGGGAGCATGCTGGTGGGAGAGCGCATTGTCATCTGAAGGGCCCTGGACGAAGCACTGGGTCACAGTCACAGTACCAACCCACCGGGGGTAGAGCACGCATGCTTTGCTGCTTTGCTTTTTTGGTCTGCTTTGCTGCGCTATAGGTCGTGCCAGGCAGGCCATCCCTATGGGGGATTGACGAGCACCGGACCATCATTAAAGAACCTCCGGAGCGAGTTTAAAAATAGTACAAACGGGGCTGGCCGGCCTTGCATTGACTGGGGCACAGGGGTGGGCCATGTGCACACCTTCAGACACAGCGCTGAAACCAGTGCTTACACGACGTCGACGACATGAGACGATCAAGAAGGGCTGAGGAGGGCAGGTTCCAGTTGGCTGTTCAATTGTCATTTCCTGCATTATTTCCATTCAGTATACATTTCTGCAAATGATTTTATTTTTATTTTTGATTAGTTAGCTGTGTGAGGATTGAGCCCTTAATGGGGCCTTGCCGACATTCACATGTTCTGGGCTAAGGACCCCAACAAGCCTCGTGCCCGCCCTAAGTGAAGGCGGGCCAGAATATCCACAAGAGGCCTTCCATTCAGCATTTCACGAAGTGGGTATCAGACAGTTGCTACACGCCAGTTGGTTGGAGTGCATCGTGAGCCCAGACTCCTGCAGAGGCAGTTAAGCCCAGGGCCTCAGTTGGTTGAGCCCTGGGCACCAGTCTGGGAGGCCGACACATCACACATTGGACGCTGGCCTATGGAAAAGCAGCATTGTGTCGTAGAGGCCGAGCGAACCAATGGGAAAACGGAACGGGGTCTGAATCTGGACGATGGCCCCGGCATAAGGGGGCGCAACTGCACTACCTGGGCCCCATCTGTGTTGGGCCTGGGCCGAGGCGCAGGCTCGAGGGAGGCCGCCCACACACAGCAAGGCATATAGGCAGAATGTGCGAGTGGGCAGGGATCTTGGCCAATGCAGACATTGCTGCCACGCTGCTACATTGGAGCGCGAGTGCGTGCACTACGCTCTGGCTGAGAGAAAGCTAAGCGGTAGGGCGCAGCTGGGGTGCAAGGCGCTGACAGCCATAGCCGGGCTGCAGGAGGGCGCAGAAGGAGGTGAGGGCGAAGGTGGTCTTCGGAAGGAGGAGACGATGAGTGGGAGTCAGGGAAGAGAAGAGGGGAGCGAGTGAGTACTTACCTGGTGTGCAAGAGGAGGTCGGCATTGGTGTTGACGTCAAGCACGCTGGCCTTGAAGTAGTCCTGGTCGCGTCATGATGTAGTTGTAGGGATAGGCTGTAGAGTAGATAGGGCGCCTGACGCCATTCGAAGAGAGAGCTACATTGGGTTCTGATGTTGGTGTGGCCCTTCGGGCTTGGGCATTGACTCTCGATTCTGCTGTATCGTTCTCAAAATGGATGGTTTCTTGGTTCCATTGTGCTATCTGCCCTTTGCTTGACTACATGGACTTCAGGGTGATTTGCAATTTGGATTTCTGTACTTCGTTCACACTCATGTTCCTTGCAGCTGTGACGGACTGTAGGTAGAATACTTGTTTATTCTTTGCTGCATTGCACCTGTCAAGCCTAGTCAGAAACAGGAATAAAAATGTTCGTAGGGGTCTGAAGTTATCTGTAGATAACGCTTGAGTACTTCCTGTAACCATCTGGAACGAATAATTATTCTATTTATTTATTTTTAGCAGCGGTTGGATGCCATGCTGCGGTAGGTCCCAGCGAGGACTTGAGTGCAGATCGCATGGCACATGTAGCTCATGAATGAAGACTACAGAGAGGTTGAGAGAACTAGATCAGAGGTGCAATGACTTGCTGATCCTGCTGCCGGTGCCCCGTCTATTCGAAGCTGTAACATAAGTATGTCAGATTCATAATTTTGTTTGGCTGCGGGCTAACCGAGATATCTGACTCGGAGGAAAATTTGTGAGGGACATATCTGCAAAATTTGCGAAAATTTGAGGCCAGCACTAACCCGAATTTCCTATAGCTACCCTAACTGCGAAGAGCAGGCCCGGGCTACCACTAGAACAGACGGGCCCTAAGGCCTACGCCGTTAGACAGTACTATAGCCTATAGCCAGGTAGGGAGAGGCCCGAGAGGCTGAAACTGAAATGCTACCGGTCGGTCCAGTCAGTCCGGTCTAGGTCAAGTCTATTAATAGATTGTTGAAGACTGTTCGAGGCTTTTGGCAGTTGGGTCATTTCTGGTGGTTGTTGTTGCAGGCGAGAAACTTGCAAGGAACATGATTATGGACGAAGCACAGAAATCCAGATTGCAAAATCACACTGAAGTCCAACTAGTCAAAGCCAGAGCAGATAGCACAACGGAACTGAGTAACCATCCATTTGAGAAYGATACAGAAGAATCGTGAGTCAATGTCCAAGCCCAA